ATACATATATATTCACTTATAGTTGACATACAATATTATACAACATCAGCTTCAGGTGTACAGTGCAGTGATCAAGCCTCTACCCCATCTATGATGTGGTCTCCCTAACAAGACATGTGACCATCTTCCCCATTGTATTTTAAGCAAAGGTAATAATATCTTTTCCACAGTCAATCCTAGTATAGTACCTTGTACTCTGCAACATGAATTCAATATATCAATGATTCTTGAAGTTTTCTGACCCCAACCCACTGCAAGAAATACATCATAATCCAGAATATATATAGGTGTGGTGTGCATGTGTATGTGAGAGAGAGAGGTGAAGGAACATAACGAAATTTCACCATCAGTTCTTATCCTTACTATGTGTGATACCCTCTGATATTTTCTATTCTACTCTAAACTCTACTTTATTCTCTTCTAGTTCTTTTTAGAAAGATTGGTTTCCAAGCCTATTGGATCAAGACAAAATTTTGAAAAACACTGATCCAGTCCTATCTCTTATCTAATATTAGAATCTTATTATATCTCTAACAGATACTAATCTTAGTCAGAGCTTGCAGAGTTCAGAGTGCTTCAGGAGGATGTGCATTTCCCTATGAAGCAGCTCAAATTGTTGTTATTTTTCAAGGTCAACATTCATGCTATTTATAAAAATATTTTAAATGGTGGAGAATTTTTAAATGATGGAGGATAGCCAGATAAACACCCACTTATGCATATCCATGTGAATTTTTTATCCATAAAAGTCTGAATAATATAAAATTCTTACTTCAAATTCTTCAAATGTGGAAGAAAAAAATAATTATAGATTTAGAAGTAGATTAAGATCTGTGGTTGCACACTGGGTGAAATTAACAATACAAGTATTGAGAGAGATATTGATTTTAAAATTCTAGTTGTATACAATCCTATTAAAGATTTTATAAGTGTGCCCCCCAAAATGTAAAAATTTATAACCAGCATGTACCAAGTTTATTTCAGAATGGTGCCTGTCCATGCCTTCTTCTGGAGAGAAGTAAAAAAGTCAGAAAACATTAAGACCTCCCAGCACCCACCACCACAGCTAATTGTTTTAGAGATGAGAGGCCTAAACATAAAGCTAAACCAGTATTTTAGTGACCTCACATAAAAATATGAGCTGAACCAGAGGCTCTGTCTCTAAAATTTCAATCAAGAGATATAGAGGGCAGTCAATGACGGGCTCTGAGAACTAGAACTAAAAGGTTATGTTAACTCCCAGCAATGGCAATTTATTATAGTTAATGTAGTAGTTGAAACTATAAGAGAAAGCCAACTGGATGAGAGAGTAAAGAGCCAACAAATGAAGAAAGGCAAAAATGTTATAAGAAAATAAAAAAAAGACTAAGGCCAAGCACTAGAAGCTTCTACCCTTGCTAAAGTCTCTTTTTTTCCCTTTTTCCTGTGTTCCCATGCACACTTATCTCTATTCCTGAGGCAAGCTGAGTTTCTCCATTCTTTAGCACCAAATGTCTAAGTCACAATATCCTTATGTGTTTTGAAAAAGAAAATTCTTTGCAATGCAGGTTACTAGTTCATGAGAACAAAGGCTCCAGATCTAAGATACTACATTTAAATGCTAAGCCACCCTTGTAGACAAGGAAACTCAAACTACTGTACTGGAATGTTCAAAAAGAGCCAAGTAATCCTATATTTGGATAGTGGAAAAAAGAAAAATGTAAACTTTATATTTCTATTATAATAAAATAGAAATGGTAATTTTCTAGAATCCTAGTTCTTATTTTCTGAAAGTTTTCACCTTATTTTCTTACCTATTGGTAGAGGAGAGAAATCATAACTGTCAGAAGCAGTACTTATACCTGGATCATTTTTAAGTGGATTGGAAGTTAATGGTTGTCTATTCCTCTTTTTCTGATTGAACAACGGTACAGGCAAACAGCCTAAATTGAATATACCAATAAATTAGTACATAATATGAAAATAGATCTAGTTATAGAATAATTGCTAGGATGTAGTAATGCACAATTTGAATTTGTCTACTGCTATTTGTTAACTTTATATTCATTATAAATATACTTATATATCTTTGGATTAATTTTTACATTCTTTATAAGATTCTAGATAGCCTCATTTGTTTCTCTAAAAACTCCTTTCTTGTTCTACATTAACACTGCCTTCATTTTTCTTGTTTAAAAGTAATTCCCATCTCCTCTCTCATCCCCCAACGCTTTGCAAATCCACTTTTTGTTTTCCTTATCTCCTCCTTGTGCTTGCTTATTATCACATCAACTCAAGGGGATCCTTCAAGAACAAAAGCGGTGAGGGAGAACCAGACTTTGACCCATGCTTTCCAAAACTGTAACCATTCTTTGGACTATGGTAGCACACCTTTTAGGGTCATGGTTCTCAAATTTTAGTTTGAATAAGATTTATCTGAAACCATGCTTAACATGCTAGTTCCTAGACCCCATTTTCATGGATTTCATTTTAATAGATTTGGTTTGGAAGTCAAAATTCTGTAATTTTAATAAGTACTCCAGGTGTCTGTAATGCATATTTTTCGTGGAACACTTTGAAAATGTCTTAAGAGTGACAACATCCAATCCAAATGAGAATAAATACTACCTCCATACTCTTCAGATAAGTGACCTGGGATCTCAAGTCAAGCCAAAAGTCAGAATTTATAAATAGTAGAAACAGAAGGGATCTCAGAGAAAAAGAGGTCCTAAAAGCTTGTACATTGCCACAATGGAAGGACCTAGATAGGACACAAGCTTCCTGTTTCTCAGTTCAGATATCTTGCCACTATACCATACTCTAGATGGTCCACCAAAACTTGTACTACAGGAGAATACAGACTTTGTGATTAACTATCTGATGGGAAAGGCTGGGAAAATGATGTGGGTTCTGGAGTCAGACCTCCTGGGTTTGAATTACAACTTCAAAGTAGGTTTGAATTACATACAACCCGAAGTATAAACTTGGACAATCTCCTTAAACTCACTGTGCCAGTATGACATATACTGAGAGGCAGGATAATAAAGTGATTAAGAGCATGGACTCTAAAGCCAGATTCCTAGGTTCAAATCCTGGCTCTGCCACTTTATAAGTTACTTATTTAACAACTTCTTTGTGCCTTAGTTTCTCATCTGGAAAAGAAGGATGATGATAATAATGCCTAACTTAGAGGATTGATGTAATCATTAAATAAATCACTACATATAATGAAATGTCTAGAATACAGTACATTCACCATAAATAATAGCTATTACTATTTCATTATGCGTTATCACCATTACCCTGGTTCTCTTCATTCTTGTCCTCTAACTAATAAATTGGGGAATCAGAAATACTAAGGAAAGCTGTTAGGGAGACAGAAGTTCCTCTGGAAATACTTTAAGTCACAAATATTATACAAATGAAAAACAAACCTATTTCTTCGTTTTCAGCCTAAAAGCACAGAACAACTCAAGTACATAGGGTTTGTAAAAAGAACACTAGAGTAAATCCAGAAAAGTTTGATTTTACTCCCACCCTCTGTCACTAAATGTTTTGCCTTGAGTAAGTTATTTCCTTGGACCTAAAAAGTAAAGAAGCTATACAATATGTTCAATCTTTTATAAAGTTCCTTTCAAAATCCTTCACTATAAATTATACGTTTTATGTGATATATACAAAATATACAAAATTTAAAAATAAAAGTTGTTCAATACCTGCTGTACTTCGAGTTGAATTTTCATTTAGGTTTCTCTTCATTTCTTTCAATATCAAAGTCTGTAACTTTTTCTTTAGCACTCCAACTTACAACATGAAGTTATTTGACTAAACCTTCAAAGAAAGAAATTTGTAACTCATGTATCAGCAACAAAATCAAAATTTTAACCTAGTAATTACTGAAATTGAGGTTTAAAAGTATGGTTTCAAACCTGATAATGTAAACACTTTACGGAGCCTTTTGCTTTCCGAGTAAGAATTTAGAACATAAACCGTTTTCCCAACGCTGTTTGAAATACATTAGGACTGGAGTGGTTATAACCTTGCTTCCTAAACATATGCGGACTTTCACACAGTCTTTGTAATTCGTTTCAGAACTAATGACCCACAGGAGAATAATTCTGAACCAGATTTATAAAGAGAAAAATGGACTAGAACATTGGCAAACTTATATGCTTACAAGGCCAGAGAAGAAACATACACAGTTCAACTAACCACGTGAGACTATGCTGTGTCTCACTTTAAAACGCTGTGCAGATCATCTGTTTTGGCCATTAGTTTGAGATCCCTGGATTATATAACACCAAAGACTAAGGCCTCACTTAGTATCCAGAGCAACTGAAATAAGTTTCCGCTCCGTTTCTATAACTTCAATGAGTGAAACAAGTTTTTTTTTTCTTTTATCAAATTTCTGCTGTCATTTTTTCTATGGCTAGCCTCCTAATATTATTTCAATCCCAATTTACACTACAATAAACGCTTACCTATTGTGTGAAAAGGCAAGATACAAACCTAAGTAAGACAATTTCTGCTCCCAAGTTCACCACCCATTGAGGCTGGAGCACAACTAAGTAACAATGCAAACCACAGTGAGGTAAATATTAATTTCCAAATATCGTTTATAGAAATAAAACTTGGGGGACACAAGAGCAGTAAATGCCTCTGCTTTGTTTCCACATCTTGGGATTGTCGCTGGACCTAGTAGGCCCTTTAGAAAATATTCTTGACGCCCTTCTAGGAACCAAAATAGAGGTTACGTGACTTTTTCTCAGCACAGAAATACCAATACAACTCACATCCTAAACCCACAGGGGACTTAAAGGACTATTATGTTTCTGAATTATCTTGCAAACAAAATAAAAGCGTAACATGCTCCCTCTGGACCACTGACCCTGTGGCAGGGACTGAGTTACATCCCCCCATCCCAGCTTCCAATTGGACCTGAATCGCATTAATGTCGTTAGGCGGCATCAATGTACGAAAATTTTGTTCAATCTGCAAACACGCACGAACGCACAGAGCCCCCAAAGGCCACTGCCTCAGATGGAGGCCCGGAGGGCCTATTCTGGCCCTTCGTTGCGGCCGACAGGGGTTCCAGTCAGGGCTCACTCTCCCTTCCAATGTTCTCCTCACCCAGGGAACGGAGGCAGTTTAGAAACTAGTAAAAACACAGTCTTTCCCTTCTTGGCCTTCCTACCAACAAAACACGCAACTTTTGCCCTCAGGTTCCCTCGTTCCGGCCAACCGTCGCGGACACAGCCGAGTCAACTACCTCAGGCGTCCCGGCCTCCGAAAAAGCGCGGGAAGTCGAGCCGTGCGCACGCGCACCTAGAACCTGCGCACGCGCGCCTCCCCCTGAACCTACCCCCACCCCACCTCCACCCCGCGCAGGCGCAGAGGCCATGCCTTGGGGCATGTGCGCAATGGTGTCGTCCCTTGTGATGGCAGGGGGGAAAAAAACATATGTCCCCTCTCCCAGGAACGATAATGTTAACGTTTTGAGATACAAGGCACAGGATGACTCTCCCTCTTTAGATTTTGCCCAGAGAAGGAAGAGCCTGTTCTAGTTACTGATGAGGCAGTGGCAGATCTGCCCAGGGGTCTCTGCCCCAGCTTTGTCAGAAAATCGTGCCCAAGGTTGGTCGTCCAACCCTCTGCCCAAACCCCGCGGTCATTGCATCAGTCTGCAAATGCTGGTGGTAACCTGGAGTGTGCCTAAAAGAAAACGACGCAAAGGCCACCGGCCTCGAAACCGGGTCACAGGGGTCTTGCTTGGTCTGGCTGAGTTTCTGAGTCAGATGAATCAGGGAATTAGAGTTGCCAGAAGGCTGGTGGGAGAGCTGAGGCTTGGGTTTAAATGACAGCCCTGCAAGGCAGAGACTAGCCAATAAGGCAGGGCCAGTGCGGTGCGAGTTCAGGGGGCAGGAAAGGGCACATGGGCCTCAGGGACCTGAACCGGAGAGGAAGCACAATGGTGCAGCGACTCCGAGCTCTGGCCCTCTGGCCACCAGATGGCTGCTTCTTAGTTCTTTGATCTTGGGCAAGTTATTTATTCCTTCTAGACCTATATTTCCCTCTTCAGTAAAACGGATACAATATTTACTTAATTGTCCTAAAAGTATTAAAAGAGAAAATGAACAGTACTAGCACACAGTAAATGCTTGATAAATGTTAGCCCTTATTTAATAGCTGCCATTTATTGAATACTTACTAAAGGCCAGGGTTAGTAATTCTAGTTCTGTCTGGGTTCAAAGACCATACTTTGTTGTTACCATGTCTTCTGATCATCTGAAGACTGGGATAGGTGAAGGGAAGAGGTGCAGAGGGTGTAGAGATACAGGGAAAGTTATTAGTAAAGGCCGAGAACTATGTAGCCATGAGACATAATTGTAGTTTCTTTGAAGATTAGGTCAAATAAAGGAGAGTGTTAGGAGATAGGATTAGAGGTAAACTGAGACCAGATAATACGGGACCTTGAATGCCAAACTTAGGAATAAGCTTAAAGAAATAGGGTCTTCATTTAACTTGGAAAAGAGAAGACTTCAGACAAAATATCTGAAAATACTTATTCATCATGGTTCCAGAGAGAACACTTAAAAAGTTAATGATGGGCCAGCCGAGTGGCACGATAGTTAAGAACTGGCTTGGGACACCAGAGAGCCCCGGTTCGGATCCAACATATAAGGGCCAGTGACACTGCCCTCCGCAGCTAAGATGCTGAACAACAGCTCAACCTGGAGCTGGGATGCCGTGAGTCGCTGGCGACGGTGTAGGCTGCAGTCCCTGTGGCAGTGGGTTGCCATGGGCTACCGTATGTTGCCAGCAACCAGTGTGAGCAGCCAGCAGCCGCAGTGAGCGGCCGTCCAGAAGCCGGCGACTGATATGCCTCTCCTGGGAAGAGCG